GGGTTTATATAATTCTTAAATTGTGTGTGCTAACATGCTAAAGTCATACAGACTTAAACATTCAGCACATGAACCACAACAATGGTAACAATTCAATTTAATTTATTTTCATTACTTGTAACAATAGTCATTTTATTTGCTCTTTTTGTTGTGCTGCTACTGACACAAGACAGCAAATAAAATTGTCAAATAAAATCAACTATAAAACAAAGCAACTGTATAATTTATTCATACCGCAATGCACTCTGGGAGTCAGTGAGTAGCTATACTAAGTCATGAGTAAACCTAAATGAAAGGATCAAGTACCCCCTACAGTTCTTTTTTAGTTACTAGAACTCTCGTGTAAGTAAACTATACTAAGCATCTGTCAGTACAACATACTATTGCTATTTCACTTTACTTAGTTTTTTCAAGGCAATCGGTTTGCATGCTTTTTTTAAGTAAGCCCAACTAATTAGATTTTACAGTGTATAAGGTTATACATATTTATACAACAATACTGTCATTAATATTTTGTTCAAATCAAATCAAAGACAACTCTGAAATACAATGTAAACACATTTATTAGAGAGGGAAGTTTGAACCAATCTCATTTTGGTTTTAAAATGTTCTGTTAGATGCATTTAGAAAGAGAAATTAATAAATCTAACTCCAGTCTTAAGACAAATTGACTACAAGTGGCAAGAAATTAGTTTTAAGGAGTCAAACCCTTGAAATTAATTTTACATATAGTAACTATTACTAAGGCCAATGATACCAATGTTTGGGTTTGCAAATGTATTTTAGGAGTTGGGAAAATGGGGCATTTTATTTTATTAATTTTTTTATATAGACAGAATGTAAATCCAATATTGTTGCAATCCTGAGTTGTTTAAAGTTGGTACGTTTTCATGCTTTGTTCTTTTCCAAGATTCTGTCAAAAACATGTTGTCCAAAATAAGTAAACAAATGTAAACCACGACTTCTACAGAAATTATTCAGAAGCCAGAGAGGTAGCTATCAACTCTTTATTCCTGTGTCTGAAAGAGCAGGGATAATCCAAATGTTTGGAATGGCAAACTATCATACTGCTCTTACTATTTGCACAGTGTGCAGTATGTATACTAAGTGCAATATGTATAGAAGACTCAGATGAGCCCCTACCAAAACTTGCAGTATACAGCAGAGCACACTGCCTATACTATATCACACGGTGCGATGTACTTGGCAGCCATATTTTTGGACACAAAATTAAATCTAATTTTGACAAATTTTTCAAATCTGAGTTAATTCATTTTTACAGGAAATTGAATTAGAAATGCAAAATAATATACCAGTCACATATCTTTTTTTTGTGTTTTTTTTAGAGGCGGTACATTGTATGTAATGTGCAGTATGAAGTACACAGCATGCTAGTATTCCACTCTGAACATAGTTGGTATATGATAATCATGCCCCTGTCTGTATAGTTGGTTCCAAGTTGCCATTCAGCCAAGAAAAAAAAGTAACAACCAATTATTAAAATTTTTGAGGTTTGCACTGATCTTAAAGTTAAATAGTGAACTTTTATGTTTTGCACTTTACATTTAACAATAGCATATATTTGTGAGTAGTTGTATTTATGTGTGTTTACAATATTCTTTTTATGCACATAAATCGCCACACTATGCTTAAATACACACAACAACACATGCATCAATACTTACACATGCAACCTTCAAGCATGAGAACGAGGAACACGTTGTGCTATGCGTACAACTGTCTTGATGCTCAAATGGACAATATTTTCTGAGCATTACAGAGATGGGACCAGTTTATTATCTATCATGATTGAAGAGAGTCTGTGTGTGTGTGTACATTATATATATATATATATATATATATATATATATATATATATATATATATATATATATCTATCCATCCTTTGGTTCTGATTATACTAACTGTATCAATATCAATATCATAACAATATATTGTTTTCACTGTTGCAACCACGATCACATTCGAGAACAATGCCACCTGTGCATTACTGTGCAATCATACATTTATTTTTTGAAAATGCCACAGCATGTAAAGGGCTACCACAGAAAAAAACTGACCAGTTCAACTGAATTTATTCTTTGACCCACCATCTCAAATTGGCATCTTGATCAATACAGGAAGTCTGCACAAGCAACACTGCAGGCAAAATCACATGACACATTCCCTTTTACTATAAATCTTTTATACTTTTTAAACTTTAATTTCATCCATCTTCACCACACATGTAAAGTAAATTCAGAAAGCAGATACAGATATAGAACAAAACCTCACATTTCCTTATGTATTGGTAAACAGATCTCTGTAGACCTTTGAAAGTCAGTCAGCACCAGAATGGTTCTGCATATGTTGTTATGAGAACCTTCCAGAAAGCATTCCAAATGTTATGGATAAATGGCAAAGACACTATGATATTTGTATGTACTTTCACAAGATCATTTTATCACAATATCAGTTTTTGGTATTGTTTGAGAATTTAGCACTACATATTGACAGCATAAACACATATTGTTTTCAGAATAATCATATTCACTAAAAACAAAACAAAACAAAAGGCTTAGATGTCTTGCAATGCATTACGGAAAACCACCATCTTCCAACAAACTCGTGGAAAACTTTCTCCGCAAACATCTGGAGAGTCCTATTATGTGAACTTTTTCAAAACGTTTCAAAACGATTTTCTATCTAAGTTTTTTTTTTTTTTCCGATAGCAGTGGATGGAAACAAACAAAACAATAAAATTGGAGTCAAGTCACACATTGATGTCGTTTAATGGAGGTTATTTTCATACCGGTTCCAAAAGAATCCAAATTGCCAAATATATTTAAATAATTTGGACCACAGCCTTGTAGTGATGTGTATTCAGTATCCTATAGTTTTTTTTCTTGTAAAATGACCATTTAATATATAAAAATTATCTGATTTCAATTCCTCCCCTGAGTACTTTTAATGTTGTAATAGAAAGGGGTTTACAAAAAACAAAAGCTTTGCAATATTTATAGGATGGCAGCATTAAACATTAGACATTTACAAAGCGTCCACCAGTGCATAGCTTAGAATAGCCTTATATGCCATGTAAGCGAATTTGAAGGTAAACAGCAACGTTTTACCATGTACAGCTTCAAACATTCCCAAATGAAAGGATCAAAACATGTTGAAACAAATAAAACAAGTAAAACATTGATACTGAATCCATGAAGGCACCACAGAAAACATTTGAAGCGAGAAAGACGCTCTTAAACATACTGACTGAATGATCTGTTGTGTAGACTTAGTGTACAAAAAGATGTTAAATGTTAAAAAATGTCAAAAACAAACTAAAATGTAACTTACACTTAATCAGCGCTTTTTATGGAAGTACAAAGCAACTTGAACTAATGCGATGTGGCAACACAGCTAATGTGTAGAATCTCATGAATGTGAAATCTGTTTGTACTGTAGTTGAAAAGAGACAATATTCAACGTTCAAGAAATGCAATTGGGCAATCTTTGCATAACCTAACGCCAAAATTCACAATCTCATAAAATGTCACCAAATCTAAAGCTGATGTATATTAAACCAGGTCACATACCAACAGCCACTGTCGTATTTTTAATTAAAAGAGAAACAGGCATGAGGACTTTTAGTTCAGGAAAAGAAAAATGAAAGTAGACGGTGTTGTTTTAAAAAAATGTGTTAAAGCACTGTCCAATCTCTATCCAGCTCCCACAAAAGCATATATTACCCATGAAGCGCCTGTGGCAATCTTCTTGTCTCTTTTTGAACTCTCATTAAACAGAACTCTTCCATTGGAATAGTAGTGATCCCATTCCCACCTGGGTTCTTTACAATGCAGCACCTCCAAGTGGCAGGATGCTGGAGCTACTCAGTATTCCTGGCCAGACTGGGGGTGTGGCAGGACTCCAGTGGAAAAACAGGACAGTCAGTCATTGGTTACTGCAGGACGATTGACACTCAGACCTGACTAGTAGGATGGACATGGTAGGTGCAGTTCTGGATGTCATTCCCATCACTGACACCCTCAGAACAGCCACTATTTTCCCTCCGAAGGGCTAAGAAAGAAAGAGAGATTAGTCTTCCTAGAAGATGTGCAGCTTGGAGAGTGGATGGATGAATGGAAAAAGAAAATGTAGACTATTTTAGAACCATTTAGATTTTTGTTCAAATTAAGCAAATTTTTTTTGACAAAAAGTAATATTATTTAAATTGTAAAATATTTACACATTATGGTAGTATGTGTTCTCCTGCATTTAACTTATGCTGATTTAATTGAAAAAGGATGATTTTCACTACTGTATTCCTCTAATGTCCATGAGGCTTTCCACATTAGTAATTCGATTTTTTTTTTTTTTACATTACAGTAATGAAACCGTAGGGGAAAATATTCTTACTTAAAAACAATGTCGAAAAAAATGCAAAAGGAAAATGTCAGATAAATAAATAAATAGAGCTAATAATATGCAAAAATTATAATTTTTTTATTTTATGGGGTGAAATATGACCTGGCTTGACTAAAAGTTGGTCTAATACTGTAAATATACAGTATGTGGAGACAGATTTATGACAGTGTAAATATTTGGTTTGCTTCAGTATGACTGGCAGTTAACGGTAGTGTCTGTCTGGATGAAAGGGTATGCAAAAACACAGTGGGAAATGTAAATGTGGCATGTTTAGATACTGACAGCTCTCTTCCTCTTCTCCCTCGGGCAGCAGCAGGTGTCCGTGGCAGGGGCTGGGCAAGGTGGACTGCATTTGGCCCTCCTGACTGGTTCCCAACTGCAGCCTGCGCATGTGACGAACTACTGCTGTGGCATTAAATGCTTGCTGTGAAACGAGAAAGGAGAAAGATAGCCACTAAAAATCAGAAACCATGCTTTTCACCTACAATACTTCATTAATTTCTCAGATTAGGTTCTTTTGCTCTCATATATTCACGGATTTACCTTCCACTTGCTTTTGGCAAAGTTCTTCTTAATTTGGGCACTGACAGATTCATGGATATTCTTATCCAACGCTGTGTCTCCGGCGATCCTGAAGTACAAAACAGACATTCAAGTTTCCTTTGTTAATACATTTCCAGTGTCTCATCTGGTTGTATAAAAGCAAAATATATTTTAGAGGAGACAATCTGCTGTTTTAAAGCCACATTGCATCCAAAACGCAAAGTTCTATCACCATCTATTCTCACATGTTGCTTCAAGGCAGTATGACTTACTTTCTCCTTACATTTGAAGTCATATGAACATTTATGATAACTATGAACTGACCAAAATATCATTCACTGGAAATCTTCCCCTCAATGTCACTTCTGCACAATCAAACTTCATATGACATGATTGGTTACAACACATGTGAAAACCAATGACATTTGGCATCACTGATGACAGGCCTAGCACAACATATTTTAATGTGTATTTGAATATATGTGACAGTGAATGAGATTTGAGAGCTGCGTCAGTTTATCAGTGTATACTTTTTTCATACAGAATATGAATCTTATGTGGTACTTCTTTTTGGTGCTTTTTTGCCATTTTCCGAGTTCTACAGCATCCATCTCATTATTTACTTTCACCGTATGGAAAATAGCAATCTCTTCTTTTTTGTGTGTTACATAAAAGAAAGTTATATGGGTTTGAAATTACATTATGGTAAAAGCACAACATATGGTAACTGTAATGGTTATGGCAAATAAATATCTGTATGTGTGCTGTAATTGTTTAGATTACTGTATGACAGACTTAAAAACTCAAAGTATTAAAGTGCTATAAGTGAGATTTACAGTATCATTGACGATTAGTCTCAGTGTGGCATCTGAACTCATACCATGGGTGCTGAAGAGCCTGTTCGCACGTGTAACGCTGGCTGGGTTCTTTTTCCATTAAATGCACAATAAAATCTTTGGCTGAGAAAAGACCACAGTGTGAAAGTTCAGAACATGACAGAACTGTTTCCATAATCTCATTGAGAAACAATGGAACAGTCAGAGAAATGTATAAAGAAACAGAGAAAATAACTTGGTCTCAGTTTCCTGAGAGATTCTCCTGTGAGATTTGCCAGACATAAAAGTAATATTTTCATTGACTCTTCAAATATATTTGACAACCATTAGTGTTTGGTAAAAGAAAGAATGAAAACTCAGCAATAAACCTCACTAAACATATGAAAATTCAGGGAAATATTACAGGCAATTTGTTATACCTGAGTCAGAGATATCATCCCAGTACGGTGAATCAAACTCATACTCTGCCTTCAGGATCTGCTCAAAGAGCTTGGCATCATTTTCATCGTAAAATGGTGGATAGCCACACAAACTGAGAAGAGATAAACAAATGGTGAGCCCTGTTGAATTCTTGGGAATGAAATCAGTTCAGGTACATTAGGGAATTTAAATGAAGTAGAGAGAAGAGAAAGGGAAAAATGTAAGCATACATATGTATAAGCAGCAGTAATAGTCACACTCACAGAATGTAAGCGATGACCCCGATTGACCAGCAGTCCACTGCTTTACTGTACGGCTTCTGCGCCAGAACCTCAGGAGCTGAAGATCAGAATAAACGGGATCAAACATCAATTTAATTGATCACTTCAGCCCTTTCTAGTAAGTAACCAAGAACTTTATAAACAACAATTTAACCTGAAAATGTTGTGATTAAAAGTAGTGTGATTAATCATGCCACATGACCCATATGTACAGTAAATTCCCATATGTAAGTAATGATTTTCCTACCATTGGAGCAAATGAGAAAATCACCTTTCAAGCCAATTAATTAATTGTTATACCATATAATGAATTTGTTAATATAATACACATTTTAAAACAATAAAGTTTCATTATAAATTAATTACTAATTAAATGTATTTATCGATTGATAGCCTTAGTTTGGGCCAGAAATCCAAAGACTAAGCTCAAACACAAGAAAGGACCATCATCATCATCATCATCAAATAATATAATTCATGGAAACAAATTCCATAGGCCTCAATAGTGTGATAAAAATAAATAACCTATTCAGGGGTCATCCCTCTCTTTACAACTATGTAAATGTTAATGTTGTGAAAAAAACTGTGAGTAGTTAAGATGAGAATACTGGTTGTAGATACATTTTTGTATATGTTGCTGCTTGCTCTTCTGCTTTCAGTCATCCATGTATAACTGGCATAGATACTCACACCAAGTTTCAGTTTTTCTCTCTTTTTCTGTATAAATAACCCACATCTAATCCCCCTGACACATATACACAATATTCTTTAGAACTGGGTGCCCATGGAACCAGTTTCAACCAGTATTAATCAGAGCAAGATAATCAGAGCTAATTAACTAATTAATCAGAGCAAGAATCACACTGAACAACTTCACTGCACTGTTATAAACAATTTCTAAAGCTATGGCTAGTATGACACCTGAAAACTTCCAAGAGATAAGAAAAAGAGATGAGGGCACATAGGTTAACCTGAAGAATGTTATAAAATAAGAAAAGACTGATTTTAGATTGAGTTTACACCTAGATTTGAACCACATGTCCAGACAGAACACTTCATTGATATTCTTAGTTGGTTTATGTGTATTACCCTCTTCAATTCAGTTCAAATCAAATCCTAAAGGCTGAGGTTTCATCCAGATATATACCATACTTTTGCATATGGAGGTGTGTCTTACCTACATATCCAGGAGTGCCACATGCTGTGCTCATCACACTACCCGAACCCTCAATCTTTGACAGGCCAAAATCACTGATCATGATTTTGGAGTCTTCATCCATACTGTAGTACAGCAGGTTCTCTGGCTGTGTTAGAAACAGAGACAAAAATAGGTGATGGAACCTTTTGTGGGTGGAATATATATATATACATACACACACACACACACACACAGAAAAGGCAATATGGACTTTTACTGTCACACTGGGTTAGGTGACCAAACATACACAGATATTCTCTCTGTATTCATGTGTCAGCAGAGATATGTAATTAATCAGAGCGAGAATTACACTGAACAACTTCACTGCACTGTTATAAACAAGCAAACTTTGCATAAAGACTGTAACCCCAGAAACCATGAAGGAAAGTAACTAGCTGGAAAGTATGTCAACGTATGACAATAAGTGACTGTAGCAAGAATTTAGCCTGATCAACACTTTTTACAATTATTGAAATCAATGCTTTTATTCAGCAGAGATAAAGTGATCAAAAGTGACAGTAAACAGGTTTATAATGTTACAACAGATTTCTATTTCAAATAAAAATTTTTACTAGGTGTACTTAGAATTTCATGGTGATTATTTGATAGTTATTTGCCAGCGTGGGTGTCTCAAACTCACATCTCCCAGATGAGAAACAGGGCTCAATTTGATTAAGCCAACCACTAAAAATAAAGGTGCTTCACGATGCCATAGAAGAACCTTTTTGTCTAAATGGTTCCATAAAGAACCTTTAATATCTGAAGAACCTTTCTGTTTGACAAAAGCTTCTTTGTGGTGAAAGAAGGTTCTTCAGATTACAAAAAGGTAAGAAAGAGATGGTTCTTTAAAGAACCTTTGACTGAATGGTTCTTTGTGGAACCTAAAATGGTTCTTCTATGGCATCGCTGTGAAGAACCTTTTGAAGCACCTTTATTTTTAAGAGTGTAGATCATGGCACTGACCCAAATGACAATTATTAACATAAAGTACCATACAACTTCTCTATTCTAAAGTTTAAAATGGGACTGGGGCCACTGATTGATCCATTTACCTCAAACTACTTTCCTTGTCTCTGGAGGCAAAGGCCCAAATATTGATATCAAGAGAACCATCAAGGACTCCTGAATGAAATGATTAAGCTCTATGGATGGGAAGGAAATATTTAAAACTTTCATAATAGATTTCTGACACTCTTTGGTTGAAAATAACTCCTGTAATCTGCTTCATCAGACCTGTTTTGCGCCAGACCGACTGCCGTCTCACCTTCAGGTCTCTGTGCACGATGCCCATGTCGTGCAGGTACTTCACAGCGTCCAGGATCTGCTGGATGAGCTTACTGGCATCCTTTTCGGTGTAAAATCCTTTTTCCACAATCCTGTCGAAGAGTTCGCCACCGGCCACTCTGCCAATGGAAAAACAGAGAGATGCTTGCAAAGCTGTCTTTGGGTTGTTTCTTTCACACACACACCAACGCACATGCTCACTCACTCTTGGGGGGGTATTTTTTTATATTTTTTTTTACTCTAGACAGACTGGCGCACAGTAGGATCACAGCAGAACCACATGCTGATGCTGTACTGCATCTAAACCAACAGAGGAAGCTGTTTTACTCTTTTTTATGTTGAAAGACTGGGTAGTCCCTCTCTCTTTCACACACAAGTTTAGTTAAGTAAACTTCAAAGATGACTCATTTAAGTTCTGTAGCAGGAAGTTGATTTCATTCATTAGAAGTGGTTACCCTATCTATACTAACAGATTAATAATTATTCTCATGCACTAAAAAAAAAATACCATGGTAATATCAAGCAGTTTAGACATGTAGCAAAGTAATGTTATGGTGCTGTTCGAAGTACTTTGGAATACCATGTAAGTTCCATGGTATATGAATATGACAATTACTGGTATATTTCAAAGCAGCAATACCATGCGATACCATCTCTATAAAATGGTGTCACTATTGTAGTGGTGCTTTTTTTATAATGGTGATCTTGGATAAGTCTAACAAAAAATTAAAACAAACATTTAAAGGAAGAGCTTTTCCACCATGAAAAATAAATGTTAAAGTCATATTTCACATTACAATAATAATAATTGTATTTTGCATGCAGAAACTTTTTATTTTTATTTTATTTTTTAAATTTTTTTATATTTTCTCTTCCAATTATCATTTTCGTAATGCAAAATAAATAAATAAAAGTAGTGGGATGAAATATGATCTGTACATTTCTCTGTGAGATTCACCCATTTGTTGGATGGACAAGACATGCTGTCTATGTGCACTTCCTCCTAACTTCTCAACACAAACAGTGTGGTTACAGTGAAACTTCATTCAGCAGTGACTGTGTTTTGTCTGTTCATGTGTGTAGGATGAAGGGAACGCTGAAGGTGGGATTTCAGTCTGTGGTATTTGAAGCATCAAGACTGTGGGTGCTAACACACACACACACACACACACACACACACACACACACACACACACACACACACGTACATGCATGCAGAGTTAATCTTGCGCTGAGTTGAAAGCCCTGGCAAGCTTGGAGTCCTGCTGTCTGCATGCAGAGCTGCCATCTCACGGAAAATACGACAATGAACATCTCTCTCGCTTCCCTTTCTGTCATTCTGTCACCCTTGATCTCTCTGTTAACACAGCTGTTATGGAAACCGACCCTTTGCTGTTTCTCTCTCCATCGTTTGTCACCCATGATATAATCTGTCTCTCTTCTCTATATACATAACTAACGCTCTCTCTACTGACATTTCAGATGGTAGGTGTGAAGACACAGGTGTGAGCATATTTTCCCAGCTCCGATCAGTGGGCTTATGCGCCTGTGTGTGTGGTTGTTTAGCCTTTTCCTTGATTTCTCAGTGGAAAAGACAATAGCTTTCCGGCACATACACTCTTAAAAATGAAGGTGCTTCAAAAGGTTCTTCAAGCAATGCCATAGAAGAACCATTTTTGGTTCCACAACGAACCATTCAGTCAAAGGTTCTTTAAAGAACCACCTCTTTCTTACCTTTTTATAATCTGAAGAACCTTCTTTCGCCACAAAGAACCTTTTGTGAAACAGAAAGGTTCTTCAGATGTTAAAGGTTCTTTATGCAACCATATAAACAAAAAGGTTATTCTATGGCATCGTGAAGCACCTTTATTTTTAAGAGTGTAAGGGGGGTGACACACACAGTCATGCATTACCTGCTCCTCTGTAGCTCTATGGGGCCTGTTAGAAAGAAACATGATAGCTTCTAGTATTGTGTTGTGTGTCTCCTGTGGGGATAGTCTGGTCTGGAGATGAAATGTGTAATTTTCTCAATGTTAAAGCACTTTTTTTTATTAACATGCAGTAGCAACTGTAAGTAAATCAACTGTCGGATACCAATTGTCTCTGATGTGTTTTCAAAACATTTCTCTGTTTGAGTGTCCAGTCCAGGTTTATGTTTCCCAAAAGCATTATTAGGAAATTATGACCTCAAGTTGTGTCATTACCAACAAATTTCAATGATTCTGTGTTTTCAAAACCATAGTTCCAACAAAAATTTGCAAATTTGTGTGGATGGAATAAACGCTATATATCATTCCATATGTATAAACAAGTTTAATTTTGCATCTTTTCGTTTGTAAAAAGAATGAAAGACCGGTTTTTAAATAATGCGCATATGTGCTCTAGACCCAAGTGATGTAAGAGGGAACCATTGATTGAATCAAACATCTAAAAATTAAGCAAAACAATGGAGAACAATATAGCAAAGTCATCTTCAAATGCTATCCATGTTACAGTATATACAGCAATAATCTGACATTAATTCGATTTTAAAGTTATCACTTCACTATTTGTTGAGCCAACATGGTTCAAACGACAGAAGTGCAACAAAGTTACTGTAGTTTCGGGGAAACTAACTAGTCAATGACTAACTAGTTAATTTCGCCAACAACACATCATACGATTGGTGCTTTTCCACTGCATGGTACGGCACGGTACGGCTCGGTATGGTTCACTTTTGGGGGGTTTTCCACTGGGTACAGTACCTGGTACTTTTTTTAGTACCACCTCGGTTGGGGTTCCAAGCGTACCGTACCGTTACCAAAACGTGACGTGTAAACTCTGCTGATCACGGATTGGCCGGAGAGAATCGTCACTGAACTTGCGACACAAACACAAAAGAAGCGCTAGATTTAAATCAGCATTACATTACATTATTGTAAACACGCCACAACCAGACACAGTGAGTTTGGGGCAGAGCTATTTGTTAATTCAACCAATGGCAAATTTGGGTGGAGAGTTCGGTAAAAATTGTTTGAAAATCATTGTTTTTGCAATGCTGTTCAATGATGGATAGTGCATTGAAATTACACACTTCACCTTTAAAGGGGTCATATGATGCAATTTTAAGTTCCCCTTCAGGAACTCAAGCTGCGTCGAAACGCTACGGGAACACCTCCAGCATGACCACGCTCTGAATCACATGTGTAATCAGTCCAATGGATGGGCGAGACGTCACGGCCAGGGTGACGTAGCGACCAGGAAGCATAAAAGCACGTGCGGTGAAACCGGTGTCAGCTTTCTGTCATTCAGCAAGCGCTCTGTGTCTGTGTCAGTCTGATATCTGTTTGTGAGTTTTATTTAGTGTTGTCTGTCACAAAATCTCAAGACAGAACCAGACACCTAAGGCGAGGGCAGGCAGCGTTCAGTCTGTGTGTTCCTCCCTGCCCGCGTTACTTTACGCTGCGGTACTCCCCCCCGGGAAGATGGCGCGACGCTCCACCTGTCTTTTGATACGGAGGGCGTCAAAGAGCTCGCCAGTTGCACAAGCATCAGTTACACAAGCATATTATGCCTGATATTATAATGAGCCGCATTAATCGGAAGCGGAGCTCGCGCAGTCGGCTCTCGGGGGGCGGATTGTGCTTTTCCCGCTGTCAAGCGCTCCGCTTTAGCCGGGCACGCTCCGAGGAGACTGAGATCACACATGATCTGGTGGACGGGTTGGAGACGGCTCGTCCTATCTCCATCCGTGTTCCTAAATCTAGAGCTCGTTCTCGAGGCTTGGAAGCCCGCGCAACAGTTCTCTTTCTCTGAGGAGATTGACGTTGTTTGTGTGACTGAGCGGCTCGACCGCTGCCGAGGCAACGCTTATATTACATCATTCGGTTTTTGATGTGATTCTTACTCACCAGACCGTATTTACTCCTCTGGTTGTTTGACTGCATTTAATTGTGAGGAATAAAATTAAGTATTTATCTGACTATGAGAAGTTAGCTATACAGGGGCACTTGGGATAAAAAATAAATAAATAAATTTTCTCCAGTGAGAGCATGAGTTTACCTCTCTTCCTCTGAGGAGGTTGAGGCGGTCAGCAGGGGCTGCTGGGTGGGAGCAGTCCCAACCTACCGTGCTCCAGCCCCTCATTCTGGGAGCCTCACTTCTCGTACTCCACAGAGTCTAGGGTCAGAGTGGCGCTCCCAGGCCGAAGGCTTCTAGCGGAAGGCAGTTCTGCGGACCGTCATTCTCGCTGGATAGTCTTCGTCGTAAACACCGAAATTACATGGTGCCCGTCTCTCCTCAGTGCCCTCAGGAGATCAGTCTGCCAACCCTGCCGGTGTTCCAGGGTGCAGCAGTCTCCGGCGAGCACTCGCTCAGTTACCGCCTGCAAACGTAGCGGTGCTAAGAGGCTCGCGCCCTCCATGGAGGTCGGTCGTCCCCTGCCGGTCCGCCGCTTCAGGGCACCAAACTAGCCGCTCTGGTTACACCAGAGGTCAGTCTCAAGAGACTGATTCCCTTAGTAGACTATTTGGCAGTGTGAAAACTACTGCCAAACGTGTCTCAGTGGGTCCTGCACACTGTAGTGAGAGGCCACAGAATCCAGTTCAGTTCTCCTCCGCCTCAATTCAATGGGGCCTTTCCCACCTCTGGTAATGGAACAGAAGTAGACACTCTCTGAGGATGGAGGCCATCGAGATGGTACCTCCTCGCGCAGCAGAGTCCGGGTCCTACAGCCGGTACTTCACCATTCCGAGGAAGGATGAAGGGCATCCTTCCTTATCATAGGAAGTTCCTGAGGTTTGCTTTTGGGGGCAAAAGCCTACCAATACCGGTTCTTCTTTTGGCTTTGCACTCTCACCCCACACTTTCACGACTCAACCACATCGACGATTGGTTGATATTAGCTCAATCAGAGCACATGGCGGTTCGACATCGAGATGTCGTTCTCGCTCACATGAAAGAGCTGGGGTTAAGACTGAACGTCAAGAAAAGTCTGCTTTCTCCAGTACAGAGAACCACTTATCTGGGCGTGGTGTGGGATTCGATCACGATGTAGGCATGCATGTCTCCTGCTCGGATCGAGTCGATCCTTGTCGCGAATAAGTGAGAGAAGGCCGGTCACTCACTGTCAAGCAGTTCCAGACTGCTGGGTCTGATGGCAGCCGCATCCAACGTGGTTACTTTTGGCCTGCTGTACATGAGACCCCTACAGTGGTGGCTTAAAACCAAGGGGTTCTCCCGAGGGGAAATCCTCTTTGCATGCTCAAGGTCACACGGCGGTGCCTACGTGTACATGTGAAGGAAACCTTGGTTCTTATGTCAGGGCCTGGTGCTGGGAGCTCCTGGTCACTGCATAGTTGACTGGAGATGCTGGCCGTGTTTCAAGCTTTGAACTCAGATGATATCGCACGGTCCCCTCTGGTTCTCTCTCTGACTCATCCAGCTCCACTGGGGCTGGATGCCATGGTGCAGACATGGCTGAGGCTTCGTCTGTACACCTTTCCCCCGATTGTTCTGCTCCCGGAAGTTCTGGAGAGAGAGCGCTGGAACGAGGTCAGTCGACTGCCAGGAGCCCTGTTCTGGCCGGGCCGAGTATGGTTCTCGGACCTGATTCCTCTCCTCGACGGCGCTCCATGGGAGAATCCCATCAGTGATCTCCCCTCTCCTTCGGGGGTCAAGGCTCACTCCTCCAGAAGTTGGCCTTCGGGACGGCGGACCCCGCCTACTTTAGCCATTCCTGGCTCCCTTTTCTCTCACCTCAGTTGTGCTCTTCCACACTAGGCAGGAATTTGCAAGTCTGGCGGCGTGGGCATTCTCGTTCCCGTAGCGTTTCGACGCAGCTCGAGTTCCTGAAGGGGAACGTCTCCAGGTTACGTATGTAACCATGGTTCCCCGAAGGGAACGAGACGCTGTGTCTCAGGGCCATACTTCCGGCATCCCTGCCAGCGCTTGCTTCACTCCTAGAAGCTGAAACCGGTTTCACCGCACGTGCTTTTATGCTTCCTGGTCGCTACGTCACCCCGCCCGTGACGTCTCGCCCATTCATTGGACTGATTACACACGTGATTCAGAGCGTGGTCACGCTGGAGGCGTTCCCATAATGTTTCGACGCAGCATCTCGTTCCCTTTGGGGAACCATGGTTACATACGTAACCTGGAGACGTTTTCCTTTCTCTTTGGAGTGTTACAAGCTGTTCGTGAATAGATAAGATCCCTAAAGTTGCAAAGACTAAAGTCTCAAACCCAAAGATATATTCTTTATAAAAGTTAAGACTCATCCACGCCCTCCTAAAATGCCTCGTTTAAACACGCCCCCTCTATGTCACTTTGTGGGAAGATTTGCATAACCGCCCAAATGTATACGCAAAGAACAAAGGCGTAGCTTTGATTCTCGCTGTAGTATTGTTGCCGCCGCCGCTATGTTGTGGAGATGCTGTGTGTTTCGTTGTGAAAGCGAAACTACTTTGTTTGGCCTTCCAAAAGAGGACACAACTAGAAATCAGTGGTTAAGTTGCATTTACAACGCTGTTCCAGAACAGTTCAAACCAAATATTCAGATTGTGTGCAAGGCATTTTACGGAGGACGAGGACTGTTTCCTGGGAGAGTAGCCTATGCCGGTGTTCCGGTGAATTCAGTTCCCCTTTCCCCTTCGGCGCGCATGCTGACCCTATACAGTCTATGATGCTGACAAATAATGCTGACTCACAGCAACTGTATTTGAGCAGTGTAGAGTAGCGCTTGTTGTTTGTCGTTTCTCCGATCACAAATGCAGACATGGTTTTATGTTTACGCGGCGCGATGCAACGCAATGCAACGCAATAAAGACAGTATAAGTAATTATAATCAGTAATTATGTCCCCACTGGATGCAACAAATGCCTCGTTTATAATGGGTTTTATTGGTTTTATCTCATCGTGCCGGGACACGGCATCACAGTATGGTGAGGGGCGTAACATTTCCGTCTCACGCTTCAGGAATTTGGCCAATCACAACACACTAAATAGCTGGCCAATCAGAGCACACCTCGCTTTTCAAACCGATGAGCTTTGTAAAAATCGACGCATTTCAGAAAGGTAGGGCATAGAGGAGATACAATAATGTACAGTATGTGGAAAATAATGTTTTTTTTTTTTTACCTTAAACCACATAAACACATTTCATTACACCAAATACACAAAATAATGTTCTTTTTAGCAATGTCATATGACCCCTTTAAACAGTCTGTCATTATTTTAACTGACCGCCCCTCTTCTAGTATTTACCCATACATGGTCATTTTGCTCTTTCTCTGTGTGATCTATCAGTAGATCTTGAGTTCAGAGAAAATGACAAGAACACTTTTTGGTCTGTTACTCTAGCTCGCTCTTGGCATGCTGCTTTGGACACAATAATTTGAGAAACCTACTGTAACCATTGTGAAAAAGAACACTTTAGCATACTTTTAAAAAGAGTACTTATTACAGAAATAATATACTTTAAAATACTATAATTAAGTGTGAAATGAATGTAATGTTTTCGACACTTAATTGCATATTATTAATGATTAAACGAAAAATGCATTGTAATTTAAATGTATAATAAATGCAATAAGTTGAACTTAGGAGTGCTTAAGAGTAGAACTTAAGAGTTTTTGATCCATTTAAGTAGGAATTAAGTAGCAGAATTGTATATTTACTTCTGTTGTCTTTAAATTATGCGCTGTGAATGTACTGATAAGCATTTATGGAAACTCAAATATGCTTTAATGTCACATATTTGAATATTTTTGTCCTTACACATTTGTGAAGATGACACTGAGATTTAGTATGTGTAAAATATATGAATTTTAAAAGTAATATCAAATAACAAACAACAGGTAAAATAAGTTTCAGTTTTTTATTCAGTTTTTTTAGTTTGATTATTTAGTAGTCACCACATTAATGTAAGTGCACTTTGTTAAAACATGACAAATGCCACTGTAGCACTCCCTCAGGCTGAGAATGCAACACATTCTTGCATTGTGTTATGGATGAATTCTGACATATTTTAGAATACAATGAAAGTGTTTGCATTCATGTACTTATAGAGAATGTTTTGGGTCTAAATGTCTACATTTATGCATAGTAGCAATTAAAATATTGTAATAATGCCTTTGCATTTTTATTTGTTATATACATGGGCTTTTGGCCTGCATTGAGATCTTTGGAGATTTATTTACCATAAAAGCCACACAATATCTAAACTTGGAGAGCCTTTAAGTCATGGAAATTAATGAGTTTGAGATAAGGAGCTAAAAACGGCAACCAGCACATGGCAGCTGCACTAGATAATAGCTGAATTGTTTGGAGGTTGCTCACATACTCCGTGTGAAAATCATGAAAATATGGGGCGATAGCAAAGTTAAAATTAATAATTAATCACTCACAGTTGCATGACAAGGTAGAGGTGTGATTTACTCTCATAGATGTCCTCCAGGGAAACTATGTTGGCATGTTTAATCCTAGGAGAGAAAGAAAAAAATACATGACTTAACAAATATGACACAAGGACTGCCAACTGAGCATAAAATGTGTTGAACCTGAAATATTCCTTTAAGGCACGTAACTGATACACAGCATGCAAATTTGTTTGGGTGGAGCCAAAAGTGTCATGGAGTGTTATAATTAATATTTGTGTTACTGCAGCCTCACAGCTCATACTAATAGCTTTAATCAGTTTGTCTCCATGAGAGCTGATCTGACACCAGATCTCTACTCATTCAGACAAATCTCTTTCACAATGCTCTAGAGTCTAGACCTTTAAACTGACCCAGAGATGCTTCATAAATATTTACCAAGGGGATCTGGAATCAGATTTCCTGTTGCCTATAGCCTGAGATGCAATGTAAATATGAAACCAGGTCTGAGTGCATTGACTACTGAGAAAAAGAATGAGAGGAAAACCAGAGAGGGGGGGGGGTTGGGGTAGAGCTCTCATTTGGTTCCATCAAATGTCTCATGCCTATTACAAACATAGTGTAAGACATGTTACTAACAACAACTTAATGTGACATTTCCAGAGCAACTGGCACAGCGTGACACTTGTAGTGAGAAGGCAATGGGCAAAAACATCTCACTAAAGTGTTTCATCTTTAATTTAATCAATGGCCTTCAGTGATTCCATAAGTATTTTCCCTACCCATTTTCTTCTTCTGAGGATTTCAAAACATTCTTCAAATAAAATGTTCCTAGCCATCGACCAAAACTTCCAGCTCTGCGATGAATCACAATAATAAAACGTATTTTAAGCAAAATAGCATTGGAAAATTAGATAAGACAAAGTACAAAACTTTGTATGTAATGTTTCTTTTATTAAGGATTAACTCAAACACTAATTTTATATTGTTAAAACCACAACAGTAAACTAAACAGTCACTAAATATATTGTAGTCTGATTTTTATTATTTTTATTCACAAAGTTTGGTGTCAGTACTTTTTTATTTATTTTTTTGAATAAAATTAATATTTTTATTTAGGAAGGACACATTAAATTGATCAAAATTGACAGTAAAGACATTTATAATGTTACAAAAATACACACAGTTTCCACAAAAAAATATTAAGCAGCATAACTGTTTTCAACAATGATCATAATAAGACATATTTCTTAAGCAGCAAATCAGCATATCAGAATGATTACTGAAGGTTCATGTAAAACTGAAGACTGGAGTAATGATGCTGAAAATTCAGCTTTGACATCTGAAATCAATTACATTTTTAAAATATATTAAAATTGAAAAAAGTTATTTTAAATTGTAATACATTATAAACATCTGAATGGTAGTATATTTTTATATAAATAAACATAGGTGCATAATACACATTTATCTATGAAAATATAGTAATTGTAATTTATTTGATAATAGTCTTTTTTTATTTATTTTATAAATGTTTATAAATGTACTCAATTTAAAATCTGCCTGATGCAAGTTTCATCTTTGACGACGTTTCAGGGAACTCCAAATGAACGAATCACTTAATGTGAAGTAAACTCTTTAAGAAATCTCCTCATCAGTGCAGGAAGCAGTGAACATTGCGTAGGAAGCCAGAGAACCAGAACGCAGCTTGTGACATATTGAACAGACTGTACCTCCCTCCCACACAGCCTTGTGTTCAATTAAATATCCCGTCTATTCTGACTAAAATCTATGAGGGGGTGGATTTTGTATTAATCTAGTGCATAATAAAGAAGAGTTAAAGCAAAACGTATAAACTAATGTCACACATGTTCTTCCATAACCCCTGAGTCTCGGTCTTCACTGCCCCCACAACAGTCATCAACAGCCCAGCTGATTTTCATTGACTGGATGAATGTTGTGTGACATGTGTGGGCTCTAATTGAGCCAAACGGTGGAATCCCACACACCTCCCCAATACGACACGACAGAAACACCTGAATGAGTCACAGAGTCTCTCTTCCACTCATTCTCATTCTTTCTCTCCTGTCAGCAACACGTACACTCACCCACTGCCCTTCTCGCCTCCTCCCCTTTCAGGCATAGCGGTGGCCTCGTTTGTGCCTTCTTCTAATCTACACACCACTCACACCCACACAACCGTGGGCAGTCAGAGATGGCATGAATCCAAAGCAAGGTTATTATTGTTAATGAATTTGAGCATTGGGTTACACTTTAATTTTCAGGTGTCCGTGTTACAATGCAATTTCACATAAAAGTACTATCAATCAAAGTACTGATGTGTTATTGAAGGAATAGTAATAAACAGTAATATCAGAAATATCAAAGGAATAGTTCGCTCAAAAATGAAAATGTGTTGAAAATTTACTCACCGTCAGGCCATCCAAGATGAAGATGAGTTTGTTTCTTCATTGAAACAGATTTGGAGAAATTTTGCCCAAATTTAGCATTACATCACTTGCTCACCAATGGGTCCTCTGCAGTGAATGGGTGCCGTCAGAACGAAAGGTGATAAAAAAACATTTTCCAAAAAGTTTATGGATTTGGAAAAGGAGACTCGTTTGAAGTTAAAATGATTGATTACTTGACGGATGTGTGGAAACACAACGATGATTTGCTTCTTACAAACATGCAGCTTTTCACTTCACAAGACATTAATTGATGGACTGGAGTCGTGTGGATTACTTAAATCTGTGGATTATTGGGATGTTTTTATCAGCTGTTTGGACGCTCATTCTGACGGCACCCATTCACTGCAGAGGATCCATTGGTGAGCAAGTGGTGTAACAATAATCTTTTTCCAAATCTGTTCAGATGAAGAAACAAACTCATCTACATCTTGGATGGCCTAAAGGTGAGTACATTTAAGCACATCTGAATTTTTTGGTAAATTATTTCTTTAATAAACAACACATACTTTCTATAGGTTAAGGGTTTATGGTTAAGGTTTGGTTTAGGGTTAGATACTTGTAATTATGAATCATAAGTACAAGTAACGTGTAACAAGGACAGTGTAAAATAAACTTTTACATAGAATAGTTTAACTAAACTCAAAATAAATTTCAAAGATTCAGTGCCATGAACTTTGCAAACTTGGACAGATCCAGACTAGTTTCTCTCTGGTGCGGCCATCTGACACCAGATTTAAGCCGATCACGTCTGTGCTGCTGAATCATAAATGCTTAGAATTATGGTATCACAATTTACTTATGAATGTAGAAGCCATTATATAGTTTTACCTCATTTCATTACTCACAAGCACGGTATACGCATTGAACTTAAATTTTAATGGTAATGATTTAGCATGGTGCTTTTTCAGTACGGTACATGTGACCATTTGAAGTGATATATTTTTGAAACATAAAAAAAAAAAAAAAACTATGGCTGTCACAATATCAGATTTTCACTACATTATTATAGTGGCCAAAATAATTCATAATGATATGATGTTATAATGATATCATATGATATTATTGCAATATCTATCGACATTTCAATAAATAAATAAAGCTATCAAATTAATCTATTCTTTATTCTTTATTTTGTTTCTGTCCTTTTAAGGCCAATTAGTTACACTTGAAATACCCGCACAACCAGCATTAAGGTGCAATACCACAACCCTAGTTAATAGTAACATTATTGTATGTGTAGTATTAACAAGATAATATTTCATTTATTTAAATAGCATAACGTCAGTATTGGTATACTGTGACACCCCTAATACAAACAAAATGAACATGATGTATGAATCATTAAAACCAAATGAAATTGGCAACAAAAGAAAATAAAAAGAGACTGTAAAAATTTTTTCCAAACTATAATAACCCCGTTTTAAACTACATAGACAGATCTTGCACTTGCTGACAGCAGATATAAGCATGGCCCTCAAGCTGTCCCAGAATGCCCTGAGCTCTGGTGTGCGCAGTAAGGTCAGTAAGCATGTCTTTCCTTGAGGACACCCTGTCGGATTCAGTGACATAATCTGGATGTCTTACACAATGCTGACATCGCAATCCTGCTGCACCATCTCTGTGGGTGATAAAGACTGGGGGACAAATGACAGCTAATCTGTCCAGTTGAGTTGAACTACTAGAGCTGCCTTGCTGTCTATATGCACTACATGGGCAGCTGCCTTCTTAGACAGCTTGCGAACTAAAACAGAATCTCATACAATGATCATCATAAGCAGCAACTTTACACATACTACAAAAAACACACTCATAAGAACCAAGGCTCATTTGACTCTATTCCAGGTTAGTGTTGACATGTTGCTAAGTTAATGACTTAATGGTAAATCCTAATGAAAAGGAAATTCACCCAATCTATTTTCTTTAATTGATCTTATTGCGAAAGATTTGTTTATTTATTATTTGTATGTAATTTCAGCAACATTCAACAGACTTCTGATATACGGCAAACATCTCAAATCATTCATTATACTTAAACCCTGCATCATTTTTACAACTGACTACAAGCTCGCATTCAAGTCTGACTTCATCAACCACAACCCTTTACATTTCTTCTTTTTAGATATTAATTTCACTCGGATACACTGCTGCGTTCAAGTCATGCTGGAAAGATCTACGAGATTTATGACTTAAACACACATGAACGTCACCACAAAGTCGGGTGTGTCAATGAGAAAACACTTAGGACGCAATGGATGCAGTATTGGTGTACTTAAAACTAAATACTTTTCGGTGTTGAATGATAATCAAATTCATAATATTTCATAACATTTCATGCAAAATTGCCACTTTGGATGGATTTGTTTTTTCCAGACTTCTCGATAGAGTTGTAGGCTGGACTTCACCAATCATTTTGTCTGTATTAAGCCCGCCCCTTTCTTACAATCGACTGCAAGCTCACATTGAAATTTAACCTCCATCCAATCAACATCTAATGGACAGAACCAAGTCCCTGCCCTACATATGTCGCAGTATGGAAGAAAATATTTGTCACTATTTCCATTAATTTGCATAAAATACACATCACACACAAATACTGAGTACGAATTGTTCATTTTTTTAAATAGATTGAACTTTATTATTTTTGGTGTCGAGTGAAAAGTAACATTTTATATTTCACAAAATGTCATTCAACTTGTTCACCATCTTTTTTTCACTTACACTGTATCAGTGCATTCTGTTCTGTCCTTCTCCATAAAGGATGCATTTTTTTCTCTCTCCAGAATGAGGTACCTTAGAAGGCAACATAATGTTGCAGCCTACCTTTTGGAACAGTCTTCACGTTGAACTCAATGATGCTTTAAATTGCTGTTTAAGTAGGACAGCTCATTAGGTTTTGCAACAGAGTTAAATAAATAAATGAGGATGCAGTCGATTGTTTAATACCCTAGTTTAATTCTAAGCCCCTTTCACTGGTGCCAGCAGATATTGTTTAGAAATATGACTTTGCAGCAGACTGTGAGTGCTTCCTCATTCACACGTCGCCTCAAATCGCTGCAAATACTGTGCCTCTTTGCCTGTGGTAACCCGGGCAACCCAGACACTAAAAATAGCATCAGCTGCTCCGGCTTCAGTCATTCCCACAGAGCTTTATGATTCCAGAGGTTTAAACATAAGATTCTTAACACACGCACAAATCACTTACTGTCCTCTCACCCTGAGATAACACGGCTGTTACATATAGATGAAGAACTTCTCATACAGATAGTAGGTGGTGATATTTAATGTGTGTGTGTGTGTGTGTATGTCATAAACATCTGTAAGTGATCTGAAACTCGCTGTTTTAAGGACTCACTTGTGGAGCACAGCAATCTCATTTTCAATGCTGTTCTCCTTCCCCTCCAGAGCTTTTTTCGGGATGCATTTTATCGCCACTAGTTTTCTCGTCCTCTTCTCTTCTGCGAGCATCACCTCAGAAAAAGCCCCTCTGTAAGACAAGATCCATATAATCATTCAGAATTCAGTAAAACCAGGGGTCCATGAAGGTTCTACAGGGACAGATATACAAAGCATTTAGACTATACATATCATATACATTTAATAACATTTCATGACTGTTTGAATAAACATTAACTAAAGATTAAGAAATGAAATATATAATAATGTTAGTTAATGTTTTTGATGAAAGCTGTTATTCATTTCATTTTTAATTAAGGTTAGTGTTGAGAAAATCTTGTTTTTTTAATCTTGGGGTTCCCTGGGTTGGCTAAGAGTCATTTTTCGATACTTGAAATAAAAATGAAATAAAATATAAATAACACATTACTCAATTATTTTACATTTCTATAATATTAACAAATGAAAATTAGAATTGCCGCATTGGCAACTAACTGAAATAAATAAGTACTAAAATGACTAAAACTGAAATAAAATAAATTAACGCTACATAGAAATGTAAAGAAAAAAAAAAAAGCACATAGCAAAATTACTAAACCTTCAGCTGAAATTTAAATGAAAACTTAATCAAAATATGAATTAATTCTAGCATATAAATAATTCTAAATAACACTGATTCCTGGGTCAGAAAAGTTGGCAACCCCGAAAACATTAAAGGTACAAATACATATGCGCAAAATTCCTAAAATTGTTGGCATATAACATGCTGCTGGGAAAGCTCTCGTTATTTTACTTTTACTATGAATGTCAAATCTTTCCAGTGAAAGTCACAGATGGACTGAATGTTGACTCAGATATACTTATCTCAACAAGACCTAACCAGAAAAAAACATGGCACAATGGTAAGCAATAAAACTCTTCCATTGAAAATTTGCATTCTTATCTAAACCAGCTGTGAATGAGACAAGAATATTTAGCTTCCATTTCTGTGGCCCTGTCCACAAAGGAATCCCATTGGCTCTTAGGTCACTCCATATCGCTGAACATAAAAACATCACATTTAACCATTATAGCTAGTGGATCAGTGAAAGCGAAGGAAAACAGCAAGCAGATGTTAACAGAATTCCTCTGAAATGATAACAACACAGGCAACAAGTTCTCAAGAAGAGTTTAAGGAAACAGTTGAAGTATGTAAATTAAGGTGACCAGATTTCTGAAATGAAAACTGGGGACATTTCCTAGTTCAGCAGTCAAAATCTCACTGAAATCTCACTTGTGATTATGTAAAAAATGGGGACAATATATTGTTGTATGTTTTTTTTAATTGTTGTGGGTTCCATATATTAATATCATAATGAATAATTACAGTGACGTTTGAGGATCAAACTTACCCTAGCTTTTTTTATACAATTCACCAAAAATCCCACTATGAAAAATAGTAAATAGTAACTTTTTAAAATTAAACATTAAAAATAAAACAAATATGAGAGCGTATGATAGATAAAACTGTATTTAACAAAAATGTTTAATATTTTTAACATTTTCACAAACTGTGAGTACAGTAATTACAATTTTTCAAATTGTATGTTTATGCTTTTGGAAAGGGATGTTTTCTATCCCTAATCAGGCTTATTATTTTGCATTTTAGGCTCATTTTGACCACAAAGTATGTGCTTTCTGCAAATGTAATTGCACAAGTGTAACTGATTAGTTTATTATTTTTTTTAATTATTCATATTGGAGTTGTGACGGTGGAAGTTTCAGGAATGTTTAATATTGTGTGCGAAACAATCCCGCAACCTTATCATGCCTTCTTATACAGTGCACACAAACAGTATTACGTTGTTTATAGTTAGTATATGACAACCTTGAAACCAATAATGGCGTCTCTTTTGATAACTGATGATAATAGCTCTCTGCTCCAAGTAAGCAGTATAGCTCGCAGCGCACTCTGCTGCTTAAAATAATCACAATCATACGATTGCCAGCTGGCTAGATTGGTCGGGTTGTATTTGCGTGTTGTTTTGAATGTGCTGTAAATGGGGACATTTCTGGGGACAGGACATCAAAAACCGGGGCTGTCCCTGGAAAAGGGGGACATCTGGTCACCCTAAATTCTACTCTCTGATTCAAACAAAAACTGATTAATTCGGGAAATAACACACAACATTAGTGTGTGTTGGTCAGAGACACATTATATGTAACTCTGTGTTGGCTGGATATATTTTCACTGCAGGAGAATATAATATGGACTAACATGGCCAAATTTTGTCTGAAATGTAAGAGTTTCAGAATTCAGTTTCATAATGTTTATTCTTCTGATGGTAAAACCATAAGTCATTGAATAAAGGAGTGTGTGTCAGGTATGGGTGTGCAATATATATTGTGTATAATAATATCGTAATTGTTGTTTTAATGATGTGTGAGCTTACATTACAGAGTAGGTCACTCAGTTTGGAAAAAAAAACAAAGAAAAAAAAAACATGTCTTGAGAGTCCTACTAATATGGTGTTTGAATGCAATCATTATTCAAGATATGGGGGAAAAACTTTTTTTGTCAGTTCTATTAACAAGGAATTCATTATTTGAGTTACATTTCAGACACAATTTTGTCAATATTAGCTCAGTTCAGATGGTAGTTGTTTCTCATGGGGACGTAAACGATTTTCAACATTTACAGGGGTTAGTCTGTGATTCTATTGCCGCCTGAATCCAGTATGTCAGCGTTTTTCTCCCACCACCCGCATAAAAATCCCCTGCCGAATTACCTACTGGTTTTGACAAACACCAAGGCCGTGTGGTGATTGAATTGCCGTCTGAATCCACATCTCTGAGTTTACAAGAAGAAATTGATTCAAAATTCAATGTTTAAATCATTTTTGACCACTGCCGAACACCATACGGTAACTGTTGCACTTTGGTGTAATTTGCATGCATATTTATTACTGAAAAAAAAATTTAAATACTGAAATGCTGGAAAATATTTACAAGAACAATATATCATTACTGCTCCACCACAAGGAGTGGGAGCCATGCCATGCCAAGCCATGTCTTTTTTTATTATGTTTTTGCTCATTTTTGGATGTCATTAAACTGCAATTGGGATCTATTTCAACTCGCTTCAGTGGATTTCTTACATCACCTTATGTAAATAAGAGGTTGCATTAAAGGGGTCATATGATGCGATTTCAAGTTTTCATTTCTCTTTGGAGTGTTACAAGCTGATTGTGAATAGATAAGATCCCTGAAGTTGCAAAGACTAAAGTCTCAAAACCAAAGAGATATTCTTTATCAAAGTTAAGACTGGTCCACGCCCTCCTAAAACGCCTCGTTTAAACACGCCCCCACATGTCTACGTATTCGGCCAATCACAACGCACTGGATACCTGGCCAATCAGAGCACACCTCGCTTTTCAGACCGATGAGCTTTGTAAAAATCGACGCGTTTCAGAAAGGCGGGGCATAGAGGAGAAACAATAATGTACAGTATGTGGAAAAGAATGTTTTTTTTTTAATCTGAAACCGCATTTCATTTCATTACACCAAATACACAAAATTTTTAGCAACATCATATGACCCCTTTAACGTATTTCTGCAAATCTCCACATTTTTAATGACATCCATCATTTTGAAAGATAAAATGCAAGACAGAAAACCATTTGTAGCGCATATATTTTCCTATTTTAAAACAGGAGATTCAAATATTTAAATAATAAATGGAATATTATTAAATATGAATTAATTCTCATTCCAAGCATATGACATTTTATTTATAGCAGCCTATCATGCGACTGGCCACGTCAGCATCGCGTTCCCGGGTTCGTAGGATCACAGAACTCGCTTCTCCACTGTGAATAAATCGCCATCCAAATCCATGAGTTTTATCACTGATGTATTTAAATTAATTTTTACAGACGTCCACATGAGAAACAATTGCCGTCTGAATAGGGCTATTGTTTGTTTTTACTGTGTATTACTGTGTTATGAATCCATGTTTTGAACAAACCGTGAGTCAATGATTCGATGACCCATTCAATGTCACTTGAATAGTTCCTGAATGATTCACCCATTTGAGCGAATCGGTTGAATGAATGACTGAAAGGCTCGCTCATCAAGCCAGTGGCTTGTTTCATATTTAAAAGTATAATTTCATATTTCTATATTTAGAATGTTATATTTAAAAAATGAATCTTATTACATCATGTATGCAATTGTGAATGCCGTGTAAATGCATTCAACCCACCTCTGAGCTGCATTAAACATGTAAAGCTTCTGTAACACTTCTGCAGTGCAAAAATATTTTGAATTTGTTAATACTTAATAATTATCAGATTTTGTTAATACTGATTTCATTTGATTTGTAACAGTTTATAGTGTATTACTAATATAATTGAATATATTTAACTGAAATAAAGATTAAATAAAATAAAATATAAATATTACGAAGTCCTTAAATTGTTAGATCTAAAAATCACAAAAGATAAAGTTTCTGTGCCAATTATGAACTGCAAAAATGGATTTTGTTGATACCGATTGTTAACAGTCTATAGTGTAGTACTATTCTAGTTGCATTTATTGACTACATGTAAGAATGTGGAATAAAAGACGATGCATACATCTAATAAGGTTAGGAAAAAATCCCCTTAAAGGTAAAACTGTCACTGGAAATTAATGCAAGCCTCAGGAGTCAGCCGTCAACGACAGGCCTACACCAGCACAAAAACACACTCAGCAAAACCCCCCAAAATATCTCAAGATAATTTTTTGTAAATAATGCACTCCCCTAGTGTCAAGTGAACAATGTTTTACAGAGTGTTGTTTCAGTTGTCTTTCTACAAATACATGCAAAGATCCATGCAGTCACAAGACACAATTTGAACAGAAGATCCGTGATCAGACCTAAAAGCTCTTATATCATCAGTAAACCACCCAGCCTGTTCAATATTTGAGAATGGAATGAAGATTAAGAGTAAACTCATTATTAAACAGGATGTGATTATAGCTCCTCAGCAGCACAGATCCGGCCAGGCAGACTTATCCCAGAGAGCTCAGCACAGCCATGGAGGACAAACATTGATATGATACACAGTT